AAATTTTAATCTTTCAAAAATATGTTTGAGTTGGTTTACTAGATAGAGGGGATCATAACGAAGAAATTGACGTTCATTTCATTGAGTTTAGACAAACGAGTAAAAAGTTATGACCGTTTGAAAAACATGGACTACTTTGTAAAATAAACCTAACGAATAGGTCCCTGGCAGAAAACTAAAAGAAAAAGAAAAATCTACCGAGCGAACGTTCGCTACCGAAACTAATCTAATGAATCTGTTCACTACAGAACCTAAACGAATGAACGTTCGCTAAACAACTAAAATAACTAACCGACCGGGTTTTAGAGAAAAACTGGAGAAAAAGACCGGGCGGATCGGCGGCGGTTACCGGCGACGGCGGCGAGGCGAACGACGGCGGCGGCTGCGGCGGCGGGTGGAGCGGCGGCGGCGGTGGCTAAGCGGGGCAGCGGCGGCAAACCGAGGCGGCGGTGGTACGGCGCATGCTGTCCCGAGCTCGGAGACGAGGCGCGCAGCGACTTGGGACGGCTGGGCTGAGCGCGGCCCAGTTCGGTTGGTCCGAAAGTTCTTTTTTAAATCATTTTCCAGAAATAAGAAAAACATGTAAAACATAAATAAATATTTCTTTTAAAATTCCAGAAAATTCACATAGCTATATGGCCTTATTAATGACCTCGTTAACATTTTCCTAGACCTAAATGCCGCAGATAAAAACAAACATTTTTGTGCAAATAAACTTTGAAATAAAATAAATAATATTGCAAATAAAATCAAGTAAATTGATTTTTTATTCAAAATTCAATTTCCAATATTTCTTTGCTGTTTTTGAAGAAGTCCTTTTATCTTCTCTCTTTATTTTATTTATTTGAAATAATTGGAAAAATATTTTGAATAAATCATTTTGATCCAATTTGTCAATTTTAAAAATTCAAAAATGAATTTTTTAGAAGACCTCTAACTCTCTCAATTGGTCCTTGAGTTGCTTAAGGTTTCTAGGATCAAAATTTTCAAATAAAAAAATTGGCAAAAATGTATAAATCATGGATGCATATGAATGATCTAAATGATAACATCCAAAATGAAAATTGGGATGTTACACGCGCCCCCTGGACGGCCTCCTCCCTCTTCCTCCTTTATATACGTGGGCAGGACTTCCCTTGGAGACACACCAATTGTTTCAAGCCGTGTCTCCCTTCACGGTTTACTTCTCCGGTCATATTCACGTAGTGCTTAGGCGAAGCCCTGCGCGGATTACATCACCAGCCCTATCGATGGAGGAGGCCAAGATGGGCGACCGCACAGGGCCCCCCAAAATTTGGGGCCCCCAAATGACCGTTAGTGTAGTAGTAGTAGTACGTGTACATACGTATAGGTTAATCAGCCTGAGTTAATATCCATCGGCTGACCCAGCAAAAACTAAAGGGAAGAGAGCAGCCCATCTAGCAAAGCCAGCCCACACGAAGCCTCCTTTCCATCTCTTTTCTGTCATGTTCCATCTATCGTCAGAGGCCCCAATACTCTGGCCGGTTCTCCTTCCGTGCAATTTCCCAATCGCCCACGCCGCCGCCGCTGGCTATCTTCTTCCGTGGATCGGCGATCAGCCGATCGCCCAGGATGCTGATTGTTGTGTTGGCTTCCCTGCCTCCGCCGCTCTAATCCTTGATTACCAGGTATTGGCAATTAGTTTGCTTCTACTTCATTAATTAAATGAGGACAGCCAAACGGGCAAACGGGCCTAGGTTAGCAGGACGAAATTACGGTAGTATTACTTGACAACACATCTATACTACAGTATACATCAATTTTTGAGGCATGATTTTTCTTTGTGGGAAGCGTTATAAAATCGTCATGTATGTGTTGTGCAGTGCCTTAGTTTAACCTAGGTGATGGTAATTGATTTTTATTTTGTTCACACTAATTAGTCAAATTCATGTTTGAACAGTGAATCATTACATTTCTTTGGTTTATAGATAGACAATAGGAAGAGATAACAATATAGTAGATTATTTACATTAGCTCTTTTGTTATTCGAATATCTAGGGGCCAATTTTGATTTTCGCCTCGGGGCCCCGAATTTTTGAAGACGGCCTTGCACATCACCATCATCGTCACCACGCCGGCGTGCTGACGAAACTCTCCCTCGACACTTTGCTGGATCAAGAGTTCGAGGAACGTCATCGAGCTGAACGTGTGCTGAACTCGGAGGTGTCGTACGTTCGATACTTGATCGGTTGGATCGCGAAGACACTAACGCTTCCGCTTTTGGTCTACTAGGGTACGTGAACACACTCTCCCCTCTCGTTGCTATGCATTCCTAGATAGATCTTGCATGATCGTAGGATTTTTTTTGAAATTACATGCTACGTTCCCCAAAATACTATGCTATTTGTTATCGGGAGACTTTTCCCCCTCCACCACCATACTATGGAGACGCAGACATACCCGTCAGTTCATTCGACAACCATCACTACGCATCATTTTGTTTATCAAAATGATGTCTTGTTGGTGAGTAGAATAAATGGTTGCTATTTACACACGAGTAACCAAGGTTAGGGGTGTTTTTCAAGAAAAATATCCTGGGTAAAAAAAGTTACCACGTCTGGGTAAAGTAAGTTATCAACTCTGTTGGTGTATATTACCATGTTATTTACACATGAGTTGCTGGGAGGGTGGTATTTTTCAACAACTTTTTACCTAGGTTAAAAATCACCACGTCTACACTGAGTAAGTTAAGAAGTATGTTGTGCGTATATTACCATATTGTTTACACAGAAGTCGTCGGGTTATGTTTTTCAACAAACTTTTATCTTGGAGGTCAAAAATTACCGTGGTGTTTGTAGTGAGTTATCAGCTTTGTTGTGTGTGTGTGTGTGTGTTTGTGTGTGTTACCGTGCTATTTGCACAGAAGTTACCATGTATATTTTCAACAACTCTTTTCCGCTTGAGTCAAAAAATTATCGCGGTGTTCATACATGAGTTATCAGCTCTCGTGTGCGTATATTATCATGCTATTTACACATAAGTTACTGGGGTATTTTTTAATAATTTTTCCCTGGCTCAAAAAGTTATCATAAAGTTTGTACGTGAATTATCAACTCTGATGTGCGTGTGTTACCATGCTAAAGGATGAAGGTCTGGGATTTAAGAAATTTGTACAATTCAAAAGGACCAAATTAAAACAAACTAGAGTTGATGTCTATGCAAGTAAAATATTAGTTGGAATCATACACATCCAATTGCTAGCTCTTTTTTTTTGACTTGGAACCACTGGATTCCATTACTCAACTGGCGCAACAACATAGCTGGCCATAAGAACAGTTACATCATTCGGCGCAGCCTCCACCCATAATCTTGCATGTCCCGTACGATGAGGGGAAGAGATTAATTCCTGTCCCATGCACAGTTTTTTTTACCTTAGAGCTAATTATACCTATAGTACACAAACTTGCACGGTATGTACAGATTCATACAACAACTTGAAAAATGACACAAATTAATCCACTAACTTGAGTTTTGGAAACATTTTCATACATTTCGTTTACTCACCGTCAAATGGTCCGTTAACTCTACCAGTCTGCCTATATCACAAAAAAAAATGTGGTTGACGGGCTTGTTGGAGCCTTTAAAAAATCAGAAAGCATATTTAGAAATTTTAAAAAAAAATCAAAAAAAATGTGAAAACTTATGTGGAGTCCGTTTCTCAAATGCCATATGTATGTATCTAAAAAAATCCAAAATATATATGCATTGAGAAAGCAGTGTACACTACCGGCAAAAAAAAGAGAAAAACAGCGGACATTACCAGTGAAAAAAATACATAATGAAAAAGAAAGCAGCGTACACAGCCTAAAAGGATATAGATAACTTTGGATCATTGTTTAACAGAAACAAAACAGGTGGAATTTGCGCGGACGTCTCTGGCTCGAAACCTGGTCAGAACATTGTTTAGTTAAAACTAATTTCTCCCAGTGGCTGACAGGATGAACCCGCGTTATGATAAAGGAGAGTGTGGGCCTGGCGCCACGCTGGCGTGCAATGTAGACGAATGTAACGGAGCACTAACGGTAAGTGACCAAATTGTACTGAAATGTCCCCGAAACTCAAGTTATATGATCAATTTGTGTCATCTTGCAAGTTGTTGTATGAATTTGTACACACCGTACAAGTTCGTGTATCATAGGTGTAATTAACTCTTTTACTTAAAACAAAAAAATAGCTTTAAATGGCAGTACACGTAATTAGGACCCCATTGATCATGCCAATTAAGATATGGTGTAATTAAGTCGTGCTAATTAAGAGTCATGATACTAAATCGGGTCAATTAATAAATCCGCAATTGAAATCAGAATTATGGGAGGCTCGTGCGAGACCGCACGATCGAAAATCGATGACATCCAGACCGTTCGGATCTATAAAGATCAGAACGGTCGGAAAATAGCTTTTTTTAAAGAATCGGTCGGAAAACAGCTTTCTCGAAACATAAAACACTTCGGCATATAAATGTTGGGCATGCTGGGCCTAGTTCGATATCCATCCACCATATATACAAAGCTTATGTGGGTTAGTTCTGATCAACAAGATAATGACGAACCGACGATACACTTGCAGTAGCTTTTTCCCCCAACGCTCACACAAGTCATGCACGGCCCATTTGGCCCATCAGTGGCTAGACACTGCCACTACTGTTTTCCTGCCCTGAACCAGCAAGACACTGCCACTACTGTTTTCCTGCCCTGAACCAGCAGATCGCTTTATTTTACTATAAGCTACTGATTTTAACTCTTCTATAAAAAAGCTACTGATTAACTGATTTTAGTAACTGTTTTAAAACTTTAAGCTACTGATTAAATGAGCTCAATGCGTAATGCTACTACTGATTCTATGACACGCAAGCAGTCCCTGGTGAAGACATCAGACATGCGCGCAGGCAATGAGGGGAGGAAGGCAGGTCGGAGGAAAGGATGCCATTACACGGCAGTAGGAGACGACGAGCAGTTGGTGTTGGTGGCCGCGGCGGCGGACTAGTAGGACTGGGCGGTGGGCGCTGGCGAGTGACGGAAGTGGCAGCGGTGGCCGTAGGGGCAGCCAGAGGCGGCAGAGAACATCTGGCAGGGGAGGGTCTTGTAGCGCGGGTGGCGGATGACGGGGCGCATCTCCTGCAGGCCGTGCGCGAACCGGCACCGGCCGCCGTAGGAGCAGGCGCCGCCCTCCCACTTGTTGCACAGCTCCGTCTTCTGGGTGCCCTGCCTGTACGCCTCCAGCTCCACCACTTCTCCATCCCCATTCGCCTCGTCCTCCCCTGCCTGCTGCAATCACCATTCCCCATTACAAAATCAATCATACGGATATGAATTCCCAATGATATTTCTCGAATTGAGTTTTTGGTTTTGTGAGTTAGCCAAATCAATACCCTGTCTCTTCGATTAATGACCACTCTGTAACATGAAATTGCAAACAACAAGTAGCCGATTCAATACTATTCCTGAAGTCCCCCGCAAAAAAAAATACTATTCCTGAAGAAAAATTAAGCAAGTTCAGTACAGTTTCTTCCTGCAATTGAATCCCAAGCAAAGCCATGACGTGATAAGAATTTGTGTGATTCCAACTTAACTTAGGAAATTCCTAATCAAGCTGCGGCGTAAGTTTGGCTTACTTCATCAAGGAACTGCCAACACTATGTAGGTTAAAAGCTACAACTGTCAAGTGTTACAAAATTTGCTAATTATAAACACAACCTGATGCTTAATGCAATTGCCAAATCGTTTATAGAACGTCATATTGCCAGAGTTCTGATTTTTCAGGTTTAAACTTTCCTGCTAACCATATAATTGCGTCACAAGCCTAATTTCTCCTCAATTAAGCGACTTCGACTCACTGCATCAAGCGACTCTGCCTCTGTAGCGGAACCCGAAAGCAGAGTATGACGAATCCGAGTACAAAATTAGCTAATTCAACATAATCTGCTGCTTGATGCTATCGTCAAATTATAAATAGAGCATCGTATTACCAGAGCTCGTCTAATATCGCAGGTTTAGTATATTTCACCATCTAATTGCATCACAAACAAATTTGCTCCACGATTACTATGAATTTTGCAGGAACTGGAACTATTGAACTGTGTTCGAGGAATTCAGCGCAGATTTTCGAGTTCCGAGCAGATAAACAAAGCGATTCACTGCGGAATAAAGCAGTGAATTCGTAAGCAGTAGGATTTGCGGGCTTACCTCGATCGCAGGAGGCGGACGAACACGGAGGCGCTGCGCCTCTGCCTCGCCCCGCGGCTGCTTCGCCTGCGAGAGGTAGCACTTGGAACGGATGGAGATGCTCTTCGGCGCGCCCCCGCGTGCTGCTACCTCCTCCGTCGGCTTCGGCGGTGGTGTCGGAGCCGGCGCGATCGCCCGCTTCCCCTGATCGGCCTCGAGCTCCTCGAGGAGGAGAGACAGGTGCGTGTTCTCCGCTCTGAGGCGGAGGCGCTCGAGGCGGAGGTCAGCGACCTCGGCCGTGGCGTCGCGCAGGCGCAGGAAGCAGTCGTCGTAGCGGTCGGCGATCGCGCGGAGGAGCCTCTCCGCCTCCCGCACCTCGCTCGCTTGCTCCGCCGACATGCGGAGCGGAGAGACGTAGCGGCCCTCGGAGACGCACGATGAGGGCGAGTGGAGCTGCGTCCCCGTCGGTGATGGCCCCCATGTGGGCGAACGGAGCAGGCCTCCCTTGCTGCGGCCGTCGGATACGTGCGACGAGGGAGTGGAGTCGAGCAGCTTCTCCCGCGGCGACGAGCCGAAGCCCTCGGAGGAGACGCAGGACGACGCCGCAGGCGACAGGTACCCGAGCTCCCCCTCCATGGCCTCCACTGGAGAGCCCGAGCTGCGAACAGGGTAGCAGAGAGCGAGACGATGAGGAGCTCGGGGGCGGTTACCTTCGTGTCGCCTGTCGGGTTCGGAAGGAAATTGGAGGGAAGCAGTTGCGGTTTGAGAGACAGGTCCAAGTGACTTGATTGCCCTGCCTTATATAGAGCCACCGTTCATCTCACTAAGACCAAGGGCAGGAACGACTTTTCTCTTGTTTATCTGACGCGACCAGCTCCTGCACTAAGCTGAACAAGTATAAGGCCGTAGAAATGAATCAAGTGAAAATGACCAGATTTCCCTTCCTTGTGCAGCGCATGCTCAACTCAACAAGGGTAGAACCGACTTTTCTCCCAGTTACTGCTAAAACGTACAGTAGCTTCATTTCGTTTAGAGCGTTCCTGAAGGAACAGTAAAGAGCACTGCATATGTCACCGTTGGACACCACACAGAATCTATGCCGCAGCTCTGAATTTAGCATCGCGCATATAATGGTTCAGATGGTGTACAGGGCCAGCAAGTATCAGTAATATTGAGCACTGAACTACTGACCAAAATATCAATGTAACAATAAGGAAGGTATTGTTGTTCTGTTGTTGAAACAGCAAGAAATCAGAGCTAGGGTCTGCAAATAACAGGCTCTGTAATACAATGCCAATGAAATAATCCAGAGTTTCTAGATATTCTTCAGGTGAGGGTGTTAGCAGTCATTTTTTAGGGGGTGTCGTCGTGATATCAGAGACCCGGAACGACTTCTCGAGGAGCTGCGGAACGGTTAGTTTCAACTCGAACGTCAACTTCTGGAGTACATAACACAGGGCAGTCACATCATGCATTGCACGGTGCGCTTTGCCATCGACTGGGATCTTGTAACGCTCTACCAGTGTCTTCATCGACGCGGAGCTGATTTTTTCCCCTGAGGTGGAAGAGAAATGAGGTTAAGCTTTTGAGTCGCATGATTTGCTTCAGTTAAATAAACTTCTTTTTTTCAGTTATATGCAAAAACAAGAAACAAGGATCAATCTTATACTTATTTACTAATTGGAGGCTCCACATCAATCCTAGGCAGCTAGAGATTTCTGTCCGTCTGATCTGCATATGATGCATGTTTTGCCGTCAGATGAAGTAGCAGAGGCGCCCTCACCATCGGCCCTCTCCAACAGACACAGTCCATCTCTTCCTCTGTATCCCAGCCTCCCTCGAGAAGACAAGAAAAACATCTCCAGTCACCAGCGATGAATTCAATCCGGCAGCCACCCCAGCCTCCAACAGGCCTTCAATTTGTTGGGGTTATGTCTGCGTGGAGGCCGCCTCTGCCTCCCCATATTGCAGACTGAGCGCCTCCCTGTGGCAGCATCCGCTAAAGTTTGCGCCCTCGCTGCCACGCAAAGTTGGCATAGCTATCAGCTGGAGCATTAGCGAGACCCCTTCTGCTGGGACTCTACAATAATCTGACTATTATCTACTGTAGTACAGTCACACTTGCCTTTTCCCTACGGGGTGTATGATGTTAGTATATATTAACTGTGTTGCTTTCATCTGAAAAGGGCGAGATAATGGCAAGCACTTGGTGACCACTCCCATGCCTAGGGCTAGCTGGTGGCCTCGGTGATTTAGGGTGTCGATGCATATGCAAGAAGTGTAGGTTTAAGATTTATTATCGTCTCTGTTTGAAATCATCGATATGCTCAGTAAGTTATAGCATATATTGCTAAGTAGGCCTGATGTACCTAGGATAATATTTATTTTTATGTAATTATTATGTGCAATGATGGGGCATGCAATCCCTTGAAAAACACAAGAATTAAACAAACCGGCGGCAAGTTACCACTTACTACTTCAATCTTATATTTATACGGTGATGTCAACCTTCCGGTTGATCAATTAATTCTTCAGGTGCCAATTAGCTTTAGATTTATAGTACATGTTTTCCTATCTACATTATATGTGGTTTGCTTGATTTTTTTTAGTCCTGAGTGATCTAGAAATATAACTTCATTGCTGCTTCAATCCAAGGAATATCCAGAGAAGGTGATTGGCAATAATGATTTTTTTGTAAGGGTTGGTAATAGTGCCAGAGTTAATTGTTATATTACATGGACAGGCTCGTGTTATGATTTTTTTTGGTGGATTGGCATTGCCTTTTTGCCTTACTGTCTTTTACATTGTCATAGCCACGGACTGTTGTTAGTTATTACGCATCTGGATATATGTATATATATGTAAATACATAAAAGTCAATACAGGATTTTCTTTTACACTCTCTTGCTGCTGTTTAGATATGTACTTTGAGAACTTCCTAAACTTTGCTTTGCTTTGTCTGCCGACTAAACTGGGATGTCTGCATCTTTGTATAAGTACATGAAATCAAACCTTCCTGATCCTTTTTGTTACTAAATAATATTTTTCCCAATGTTTATTTTGTTCATTTGAACTCCGCCTATGTTGTCTCAACATAGCTGGTCCCAAGCACGGGTAAAGGAGGGTTGTGATAGGCTTGGCGAGCCAACGTCAAAACTCTGCCACTCTTATGGAGATGAAACCCAAAAGATTTTCATTGGGGCGTAACCCTCTCAGCGACGTGCCACATCAGAACCCGGGTGTGGCGTCAAATGGGGAAGGGCCGGGCCATCACACCCATGGTGCCGCGCCGTATCTTGATCTGGATACGGTGGCAGGTGAGCAAGGATCGGGTTGTCGCATCCTTAGTGGCCTGCTAGATCGACGCTTGGGTGTAGTGGAAAATGAGCAAGGGTCTTCGCATTTGACTCGGCGAGTGCGAAAGGTAAGGAAGCTAGCCGAGCCTAGGAGGATCCGCTTAGATAGCTGGACCTTATGGTCCCTGACAGGTGGCAGGTATGCATCGGGAGCTAGTAGATACAGTGGTGAGGAGAGTTGTTGATATCCTTAACGTCCAAGAAACCAAATGGAGGGGACAGAAGGCAAAGGAGGTGGAGAATACCGGCTTCAAGCTGTGGTACACGGGGACGACTGCAAACAGAAATGGAGAAGGCATCTTGATCAACAATAGCCTCAAGTATGGAGTTATCAGCGTAAGGAGACGTGAGGACCGGGTTATCGTGGTCAAGCTGGTTATTGGGGACTTAATTCTCAATGTTATCAACGAGTATGCCCCGAAAGTGGACCACAATGAGAACACCAAGAGGGAGTTCTGCGAAGGCCTGGAGGACATGGTTAGGAGCGTACCTGTTGGCAAGAAGCTCTTCATAGGAGGATACCTCAATAGCCACGTGGGTACATCTAACACAGGTTTTGAAGGAGTGCATGGGGGCTTTGGCTATGGCATCAAGAATCAAGGAGAAGATGTCTTAAGCTTTGCTCTAGCCTACTGCATGATCGTAGCTAACACCCTCTTTAGAAAGAGAGAATCACATCTACTAACTTTTAGTAGTGATCAACACTCTAGCCAGATTGCTTTCATCCTCTCGAGAAGAGAAGACAGGCGGCCGCGCCTGGATTGTAAGGTGATACCTAGAGAGTGTTGTCCCTCAGCATAAGCTCGTGGTGGCTGACTTCTGCTTTCGGATTCATGTCCAGCGGGATAAGTGTGCCAAAGATACCTGGTGCTGTAGTGATGATGTCCAGAAGGCTATTAAGGAGAAGAAAGATTGTTTCGGACCCCTTTACCTGGGTAGGAGTGCAGACAGCGTAGAGAAGTACAAGATGGCATAGAAGGCCGCAAAACGAGCTATGAGTGAAACAAGGGGTCGGGCATATGAGGACCTCTACCAGTGGTTAGACACGAAGGAAGGCGAAAGGGAGATCTATAAGATGGCCAAGATCCGAGAGAGGAAGACGAGGGATGTCGACCAAGTCAAATGCATCAAGGACGGAGCAGACCAGCTCCTGGTGAAGGACGAGGAGATTAAGCATAGATGGCGGGAGTACTTCGACAAGTTGTTCAATGGAGAGAATGTGAGCTCTACCATTAAACTGGAGGAGACTTTAAAAAGGATGAAAGGAGCCAAGGCGATGGGCCCTGATTGTATCCCCATTGAGGTGTGGAGAGGCCTCGGAGACATAGCGGTAGTATGGCTAACTAAGCTTTTCAACCTCATTTTTCGGGCAAACAAGATGTCAGAAGAATGGAGATGGAGTATATTAGTAGTTTAGTACCAATATTCAAGAACAAGGGGGATGTTCAGAGTTGTACTAATTACCGTGGAATTCAGATGATGAGTCATACAATGAATCTATGGGACGGAGTCATTGAGCACCGGTTTAGAAAAATGACAAGCGTGATCAAAAATCATTTTGGTTTCATGCCTAGGAGGTCAACCATGGAAGCCATTTTCTTGGTACCTGCATATGGAGAGATACAGGGAGCAAAATAAGGACCTGCATATGATGTCCATTGACTTGGAGAGGCCTATGATAAGATACCGCGGAATGTCATGTGTGGGCCTTGGAACGATAATGTTGTGACAAGTGTTCGAAAAAGTGATGGCGGCACTGATGATTTTCCAATTAAAATAGGACTGCGCCAGGTGTCAGCTTTGAGCCCTTACCTTTTTGCTTTGGTGATGGATGAGGTCACAAGGGATATACAAGGAGATAGTGTATGCTCTTTGCGGATGATGTGGTGCTAGTCGATGATAGTCGGATGGGGAGTTAGAGCTATGGAGACAAACCTTGGAATCGAAAAGTTTTAGACTTAGTACAACTAAAACTGAGAACCATGAGGTGCAATTTCAGTACTACTAGGCACGAGGAGGAAGAGGTTAGCTTTGATGGGCGGGTGGTACCTCAAAAGGACACCTTTCGATATTTGGAGTCAATGCTGCAGAAGGATGGGGATATCGATGAAGATGTGAACCATTGAATCAAAGCGCCCAAGATGAGATTCTATCCCAAGATGAGATTCTATCCCAAGAAGGATGGGGATAGAATGTCAAGAGGGGTCGGGGTAGACCTAACTTGACATGGGAGGAGTCCGTGAAGAGAGATATGAAGGACCGAAGTATCACCAAAGAACTAGCAATGGACAGGGGTGTGTGCAAGCTTGCTATCCATGTGCCAGAACCATGAATTGGTTGCGAGGTCTTATGGGTTTCACCTCTAGCCTACGCCAACTGGTTTGGGACTAAAGGCTTTGTTGTTTTTGTTGTTTTGTTCATTTGCCCAAGATGCCAGGAAGATTTTTCAGAAGTTAAGAAACCAATTACCATTTTACCATATTTTCTTAGTCTTAGTCACATATGCACATGTACGCATGAGTACATGAATAATGAGGGGAATTATAAAAAATCCCTGTTTGATAACTCTATTAAAAGAGAATATACTTAAAATTATTGTATGATTATATCCGATATGATATGTTTTGAATTCAGTATTCCTATTTGACATGAACATTTTTATTACTCAACATCTCAGGGATTAAGTTGATGATGAACTTTGCTTCTGCGGATGGCAGCTTCGATGCAATAACCTTAATTGCCTTTTTTTTCTGTGTTAAATGTAACTTTTGTAGTTCAATGATTGGAGCATCGTATATTATAGGGTAGACTTTGCTTGCACTTTCTGTTATACTAGTAGGAAAATCATGCACAAGCAAAATGTTTAATTGTGAATCAGTTGGAGGAATATAACTCCTTATTTGTCCATGAACTACTAAGCAATTATTTTATAAAAAAAACAGAAAGGGCAGCCCGGTGCACGTAGCTCCCACTTGCGCAGGGTCCGACCACTTTGGGTCTTTTGTACGCAGTCTTGCCCTGCATTTCTGCAAGAGGTTCTTTCCAAGACTCAGACCCGTGACCTCATTGTCAAAAAGCAATTATTTTATATGTTTTAATTTTTAATTAACAATCTAACAAAAATGAAAAAAAATCCTAATTTGCATGTGTACTTCGAATTCATGTTTCTAAACGTTACTAGAACACATTACCTTTGCCATTCAAATTACTAGCCTGTATCGGCTCACAGGTTGATGACTAGTACACAAAAACTGTGGAGGTTACTGGTGCAGCCTAATGTTGTTAACCTAGCCCCATTTCTTTTTTTCGAGAAAACGCAAAAGAGCTTGCGTTTCTTTGTATTGAAAAGGGGGGTAAATAGTTACAATCCTCCTAGGAGGCGGTTACAGCTCTGGATGGAAGTCAATGAACGTCCCAGGTTTGCGGAATTTCTGCCTCAGAAATATAAATATACATAAAATAGCATGAATACTAGATCATGTCAATACAGGAGTGGCATCTGTAACACGAAGACTATGTTAGTTCCTAGTTAGCTGTTATCACTAGAGTAAACTACGCCTTTTTCTAGCACTGAAAACAATCTTGAATATTATGTTTATGCAAGTAAACAGAACACTCGGCGAGAGAACATACCATCGGAATCAACTAACTGTCTTGCAATAGGAAGTGTGTCCACAAACAGCCAGTCAGCAGGCATCTCTTGTTTGCAACGTTGGAACTCAAAGATGAGAAAGGGCACATCAAAGGTTTTCCCGTTATGAGCAACCCACATAACTGGTTTACCAGCAACTTGACGACTCCAAACGTATTGTAGTAGAATGGGGATAAACTCCCCAAATCTGCATAGCCAGAGATGAAAACTCTAATTACAAAAAACAAAGATTTCAAGTAGGAATGCACCAAAAGAAAAAAAAAGGGTGTCCTCACTAAAAGATAAATAAATGAACAGTAACCAAATTTCAAAATCCTTGCACGCTGCAGGAATGGAGGATCATTATAAAAGAGGCATGGGTTGCACACCACAAGTAACAAACGGCTGTTTGATCCCAGTTCATATTTCTGTCCTTGCAGAACTATATTTTCAGAATGTACTGCAGCAATCTCATGCTCTCATGTTTTTTGTGGCTTTCCTCAAATTGACCACAACATGTAGGAGTGGAAAACCTCAGAGAACCTTCTTTTTGCATAAAAGTATCACAATTTTTTTTAAATGGCAGATGAATGAATAATGATTGCAAGGAGAGAAAAACTCTTAGCTGAAGGAGAAATATAACTTGTGCTCTGCATTTAGTTTTCTATTATTTTCTCATGGATCTTTATTTCTCCATTAAACTCTTACAACATGATGGGTTCCATGAATAAGAAGGTAATAAAAAAGGAAAAATATCTGTTGTTGCTGAAGGATTGTGAAAAACAATACCTTGGGATATCAGAACTGCAAACCATCTTGGTGCTGATACCATGAACAGCTGCATTTTTTACCTCTCTCTCAGGATTTATAAGTGTCTGAAAAGTGCTATTCTTTCCACCCATAAGATCACGTACAGCAAACTCAATAATTCTATCACCACGGCGTGAGAAGCCAGTAGTTTCAATATCAAAGACAAGGATAGTTGCAGGGCAGTCGGTCTTGCCTCCAGAAACCTTTTCCTGAATATCGTAGCACTGGAGTGATTTCAGGTGCTGCAGATCAGACTGCTTGAACACTTCAATCGATGATTCAACTGATCCACCATGTAGATGGCGGTCATTGCTGAAGGATTGCTTACTTCCTTTTCTTGCATTTCTCACTAGTACTGTTGCACTAAAAGGTCTAGTTTTATGTCTTCTGTTCTGAAGTACATTTTCAGAGCTTATTGTGCTGTGATACTTGAGAAATCTGATACTACAAATGTGTCCTATTGAGTTCCTTAGTTGGTGGAAGTTACCACAGCAAATAGAATATAAGGACATTGTAAAATGGAGTAGAAAAGGGCATCAAAGGTTTTGTTGGACCTATTTATTTGGTACAAAGTTTAGATAACAGAATATTCAACGCCACCTCTATTACTCCTGAAATGATGAACAAACAATCATTATTAGTTGGCATTTGTCAAACTTAAAACTAGTGGAGATATGCAAGAATGTAACTAAACTAACAACGGTGGAGTCATCACATATATCTCACCACGTGTAATGTCAGCACAAATAAGCATCCAAAAACAAGATAGCAGACCAGACAGTACTACGGTAACAATTTTCTTAAGACATTAAAAAAACATAAAAAACAGAATATTTAGAGAAAGCACAAATTTAGCAGATAATCTGTTGGTCTAGATCACACAAATCGCAGTTATAACACTGTAGGATTAATTGAAGTGTGTCACTCAATAGAGAACAACAACAAAGCCTTTAGACCCAAACAAGTTGGGGTAGGCTAGAGGTGAAACCCATAAGATCTCGCGACCAACTCATGGCTCTGGCACATGGATAGCAAGCTTCCACGCACCCCTGTCCATAGGCTTTGTTGATACCCCTGTCCATAGGCTCTTTGGTGATACCCCAGTCCTTCAGGCTTTGTTGTTGTTTGTTGTTGTTGTCACTCAATAGAGAAAATCTTGTGGACCAGCTAAAAGTGTACACAATACATTTCTGTGTCTGCATACGCTTATCTAAAAGCTACACTGATAACAAAATATTTTACAGAGCTCATGTTTGTCCTTGGCTCAGTGCTGTGCACCACCTAAGCTCCATGCATCCAAGCGGAACATAGCAATATTATTTAGTCCACTTATGGCTTCTTCAAACTCCTGATAGGACGCTGTACAGATCATTTCTGTGTTGCTTCATCAAGTGCTCACCAGTAATCTTTACAGGAGCAGCACCCGCTTTCAAAGCGGTGAAATCGAACTCTATCCCTCATAATTATAACACGACAAAGTGCCTTTGAAATTATCTTCATCCATTCATGGCAGTCACCGCATGCCTGCAGATTCTTTGACACCAATATTTCTGTCCCTGGACCAGTCTTAAGAACACTATAAGCCACTGCAAGCTTCTCACTGTGGAAGCTGAGGTTTTCTTCTCTTTCCTCCTGTGATACATCTTTTGTTACTAATTCAGTGGATGGGGTATAACCTTCAGCCTTCGCTTTTTTCAACAAGCCATGCAGCACTCTGTAGATATCATCAGAATCAGGATGAGATCGATCACCAGCTTTGAATTCATGGGTGCTCCCCCCTAATTCAACCCAACTCAAGCCCTTGATCTTACGTACCTTCTTTTTCTTCATCTCTTTCCATACTTCCTCTGAATCACCCCACCTGTTTATTGATGAGTAGATATTTGAAAGAAGCGTATAATCACCGCTGCCCTGACATGTTATCTGTTCAATAGTGACATCACCTAATTTGGTTTGATGGTACCTACGACAAGCACTAAGTAATGCCCTCCATATCACAGCATCAGGCTTCACGGCCATTGACCTCACCAAGTTGTATGCTTCATCCAGCAGCCCAGCTCGTGACAGTGTATCCACCATTGCGCCGTAGTGTTCAACCTTTGGAGTGATTGAATACTTTGTAGACATCGTTTCAAAGTACTGACGAGCCTCTTCAACCATACCACAATGGCTACATGCTGTCAATAGTGCAACAAATGTAACCCCATCAGGAACCACACCTGAAAGTTCCATCCTGTGGAACAGCATCACCACATCAGATCCAAGACCATGCCCTGCCAGGCTACTAATCATCGTGTTCCATGTGGACAGGTGTTTTCTCTTAACGTTGTTGAATATCTCAACTGACACATCAATCCTTCCACATTTAGCATACATATCAACCAGTGCTGAGATTAAAAGATGATTCTTCTCCACCCCCAGCTCATCCATCAGTTGATGAACCCACATACCATAACATCGGGCACCAGCTCGAGCACAAGCAGACAGGACTGAAGAGAATGAAAAACCGTCAGGCACAAGGCCTGAATTGACCAACCTGCTGAAAAGATTCATTGCATCTTTCAGGTGGGAGCTCCTTGCTGCACCTGCAATCACTGAATTCCACGAGACCAGGTCCTTGACAGGCATCCTCTTGAAAATCTGATATGCTTTGTCTAGCTGTCCTCCCTTCAAGAATCCCATAAGCATCAAATTACCATGGAAAGGATCGGTACTCCACTCAAGCATTGGCCAATACAGTTCACATGCTTCCATCATGCGACCATGATCGATATACAACCTCAAAAGTGGAGCTATTATATCTTGATTACATAACAACCCAGCTTTAGTGAGATGTGAATGAATTTGCATGGCAGCATAGATGTCTGAACATTTTGAACAAGCTCTGAGGAGGAGAACATATGTTCTGTAATCAGGGCAAAATGTGGTAAAATGGAGCATAGTGCTATAGTCCATCAGTGACTTTTGTGGGGAGCCTTTTTCCAAAGACGCTCGGAGGATGGAATTGGCATATGGAAAGATTAGTCTCAGGGGATGTTTCTTCAAACAGCTTGTGTAGGACATAGTGCAAATGAGCTGCTGAAGTGATTTCCTAGAATGCAGGCACAAAATTTATATTTTCTGAAGCTTGCAGTTCATTAACACCGGGCAGCTAGCAGCCTATCAATATAAAATATTCAGCAGCCTGATGCACACATAATGTTAACTAAGATAATTATCCAAAATGAATGCTTATAGCTACGGAAATGAAAAATTAAGATCATCACTGATTCTTTACTTCTTGTGCATGAATTTACCAATGCTAGCGCTAGCGCATAGAAAGTATGCTAAATATATTGCACCTTTGCACAGGTATGGCCAAATGTGCTTCATTACAAAATACATCTACTAGCAAATCTCATGGTAAAAATTCTACATGATACTACCAATCTACCATGTATGTAAAACATTAATCAAGCTCTCATTATAAAGGATGATTTAAGATAATCCCAACAGCCAATAATAATGCTTGATAACGGAAATGATTTAGGCCTTGAGCCATGAAGTCCTTCCTATATTCACGTGCAGCTTGCGGCTCTATGACAACAACATTGCCAAACAAACTAAAGGAAATCCAAGAACCAGCACAGAACATATTAAGGTCTATCGGCATTGATATGGATATTGATAACCTCATTGTGCATCACTATAATGCAGAGGCCGGGGCTATCCCCTTTTCGAGAAAAAAATGTTGTGGATTTTTAGTTTTCCTGTACGACCTTGCAAATGGAAATATTGTCCCGTTCTAAATAACAGATGCCAGGTAGCTGTCTAAGAATAAATAATCATGTGAGAGGATATACATTTATACCAAAAGTACTAACTACTGGATAACAACATGTACTAGAAATTTCACTACGGGTAAGCGTGGCGACCACAAATTCGTCCACGATGACACTTCCTTCCATGGGCCTTCAAATCTAGGAAATCAAACCTGATAATTCATCTACTCAAGACGAACAAACCCGCGCCACCAAATCCCCCAAACAGTATAAGACGGACCATAGTGCATCGACACGGCAACGGAAACGCCAAAAAACTGAAGCAAACTGTTTCAACAAGGCTCAACGTCACCCACGGCAACGCAGCAGCCCTGCTCGACGAAATGCCTCGCCAGGAAATGAACGAAAACAGCGAATCAATGAGCACGGAAAACAAAAAGGAGGTACCTGAGCATCCGGCCGGCTGACCGAGATCCAATGGAATGGAGAAAGAGCGTCGCGGCTGGCGAAATTGGGAACAAGAAGGAAGGGAGCGAGCACGGAAGGTATATGCCTTGCGGAGATGCGAAGGCTTGTCAGCGTGTGGGCGGGAGGGGCGTGGGCGGCGTGGATGGGGGGGAGCGGCGGAGGTGGCGGGAGAGAGTGGGGGCTTCGGGACAACCGGAGGGCGGGACGGAGAGGGCGCCCGGTGTTGGCGGATCAACCGCACCTCAAGCGTGGGAACGTGGGGTGGGAAGGTGAGAGTGGCGCTCCGGCAAATGGCCACTCCTCTGCGGCGTGGGGTGAGAAGGCCACGGCATTCGGTTAGAGCATGCAGATCCGGTAAACCCCGTAAAAATCGATTTAAAAGGGTATCGCAAATCGCTTTTTTCGTATTTTTTTAAATTGTTTGGATTGCTTATCACATGTGTCATGTGATATATTTTTTCGTATTTTAAGGATATAGCAAAACGTTTTTTCTAACTCTACAATGTAACTTTTGTTCCAGCAGAACAGATTCCGTAAAATATTTCATTGTCCCGGCAAAATCGCATAAACCCCTCTAAAAGTGTCCGTTAAATTATAATTGAATCCATCCCGACTGCTCCCACCGTGAGGATCTCGTCAAGGACAGAGAAGGAGCACGCATCTTGCCCGTGACAGCGCCGCCGTGGAGCAAGATGAGCACCACGGGGCGGACGGGAGGAGCAGGCAGCTAGCTAGCTAGCTCGCGGCGGCGGCAGCAGCTAGCTTGCGGTGGCGGCGGCAGCGACGGCTAGCTAGCTCACGGTGGCGACAGTAGCGGCAGTAGCTAGCTCGCTCGTGGCCGCAGCTCGCAGGCGTCAACAACTCTGCGGGCGGCAGCAGCTCGTGGAGCAGGGGCTAGGGTCTGATGATCGCCGGCATCGAGGCGTTCCGACGAGGTCGTGCTCGGGGAAGATCGTGGCAGGAGCTGAAAGTTCCCTCCCGCCAACCTCCTTTATTTTTCAGGTCCCTGCAAAAAATGCTTCCAATCCCGTATATATGGAGGAAATGGCCTCGCAGCTCGGGATCCAAAAAAATATCGAGGCGGTCGGATTTAGGGGATCTATTTGAGATGGGTTTACGTGCTCCATCCCGCACACCAGTGGTTATTATACCCGATGGCCCGATTTGCATGATCTGCTAGAGATGCTCTTAAGCAGAACCGATCGGTTGGGTGCCTCGGTTTATTTTATTTAATTTTTCAAAATAATAATTGTCGTGTATTCATTAAGAAGAAGAAACTTGCTCAATTAATTGAGGAAAAACCAACGCAAATCAGTTTGCCCAATTCATTATGAAGAACCGAGCGAAAATCATCACAACCGTTGAATGACACGCATAAGATATCCAACACATATCACTCCAGAGAGTCTCGCCAAGACAGCACGCAGGCGTCATCATCATCACTCCTCTCCTAGAGGCATCATTATCATCACTCCTCCCCTAGAGGCGTCACCACCATCCCTAAATCCTGAGCAGACTTCACGTAGGCGATCTTCGACTCAATCCGCACTGAAAAGGCCTTGTGGAGATGCATGAAGATCCGCGCCAGACCCAACCACCGGCGACCGGACAGCACAGCTCTGACTCTGATAAAAAACCACAAAGAAAAACTAGGCACGGCTGACGCAGCATATGTCCAGTTTCAATTGCCATCTTTGGTTGTTCGTAGTATGCCTTGTTTATTTCAGCTATTAACGGTGTGATGTTCTATATGTGCTAGTATGAATTGTGCAGTTCAATTTCATCAATACCAAATTTAACGATAGCTCTATGAGTGACTATATTTGGTTGCTGTTAAGCATGTTGTACTCCCTCCGAATCTTTTTAGTTCGCATATAAGATTTTACTAAAGTCAAGCCTCGTAAAGTTTGACCAACTTTATAGAACAAAATACCAACATTCACAATATGAAATAAACATCAGTACATGTGTCATGACTTAAATTTTCATATTGTATAACTTTAGCATGCTAGATCACTACTGCAGAATGTTGCTAACGCGACACTACGATCAAAGACCCTTTGACGAAACGGTGTGTGATGCATTAATCACAAACAATGGTGTAAAAAAACGTCAAAAAAGATGCAAAACGTTTGCGATGGCGGAGCCATCAAACACGGTTCTCTTTTTAGTTGCATGTCCGATGCAGGGCATACGATTCAGTTCAATTAACTGTTTGCGATGAGAAAGAAGAATAGAAACGGGTAGCCAGATGAAGGCGTGTGCGATATACGGCATACAGTGCACTCGAATGAACTGTTTGTGATGAGTGATACGTCTCCAACGTATCTATAATTTATGAAGTATTCATGCTGTTATTTTATCATTTTTGGATGTTTTACAATCATTTTATAGCAACTTAATATCATTTTTGGGGACTAACCTATTGACCCAGTGCCAAGTGCCAGCTGTTGTTTTTTGCTTGTTTTTTACATCGCAGGAAATTAATATCAAACGGAGTCCAAACACCGCGAAACTTTTTATGGACCAGAAGACCATCAGTGGGCTAAAGAAGCACCTGGGGGGTGCCCCGAGGGGGGCACAACCCACCTAGGCGCGCCTGGCCCAGACGTGCCCAGGTGGGTTGTGCCCACCTCGATCGCCTCTCGCACTCCCTCTTTACCCTATAAATTCACAAATATTCCAAAAACCCTCGGGGTTAACCTAGATCAAAAGTTCCGCCGCCGCAAGGCTTTGTAGTCACTGAAAACCAATCTAGACCCCGTTCTGGCACTCTGCCTGAGGGGGAAATCATCACCGGTGGCCATCTTCATCATCCCGGGGACCACCATGATGAGGAGGAAGTAGTCCACCCTCTGGGCTGAGGGTTTGTACCAGTAGCTATGTGTTTAATCTCTCTCTCTCTCTCTCTCTCTCGTGTTCTTGAGATTTCATGATCTTGATGTATCGCGGGCTTTGTTAATATAGTCGGATCATATGGTGTTTTCCCCTCTCTACCTTGTTGTGATGAATTGAGTTTTTCCTTTGAGATTTCGTTTTATTGGATTGAATACTTTTATGGATTTGAGAGCACTTGATATATGTCTTGCAAATGAGTACTCATGGTGACAATGGGGTATCATATTGATTCACTTGATGTATGTTTTGGCACTCAACTCGCGGATTCCCGAGGTGACATTGGGGTAATCTATGCATAGGGGTTGATGCACGTTCTTATCCTTGTTTCTCCGGTAGAAATCTTGGGGCACTCTTCGAGGTTCTTTGTGTTGGATTGAGTATTATGAATCTGGAATTATTTGGTGTTATTTTAGTACGAACTCTTGGATAGATCAATCAGAAAGAATAGCTTCGAGGTGGTTTCGTACCCTACAAACGATTTCTTCTTATATTCTACGCTAGATAGGAACTTTGGAGTGATTCTTCATCGCACGTTGAGGGATGGTTATATGATCCAATTATATTAGCATTGTTGAGAGATTGCACTAGTGAAAGTACGGA